ATGAAATTTAAATGTAAAGCGTAATTCTATTTTTTTTTTTTTTGTAATGAATTTAACACGATTGTCTTTAAGCCAATATCCAAATTGGATTCCAACATGGTTTCCTTGCTTCGGACCATGTCTTCAGTCAAACGACATATTATGCCACATGCGAATAATTTCATAAATTTGTGCCTGAACCATTTAGAGATACCTTTGCCGTACGGAACATCACTCATGGGTGGATACGGCGGCAGTAGTCGGACGGGGGCTGCTCAAGGTGGAATGATGACACCTGGACGATGTGTTCCATTCATAATTTTTTTATTTCAAGAGGTAAGTTTGAAACTTTTATACACTATTAAATTATAATAACTCATTAACATTCTCCTATAGGTTCAACTATCGACTGTCTCTATAATAGATGGAAATAAATCGGAAGCAAGTTGAAAATGTCTTAAGATAAATTTATTTGAATATCAGAAAATACGAAACTAATTTTTTAAGAACATCCTTTATACACGTGAATAGGCTGTTTCTGGTAGCATAAAAAGGATAAAAGAAGCCTTACAAGCACGTATTCGCTTTTTATTTCGTACATGTCATCTTGTGCAAACTAGTGACTTGCACGCATCATTTGATAGGTATTGTAAATTAGCATTGCATCTAAAGTATAATTAAATCTTACATTTACTGATACATCTATATATATATATATATATATATGTGTGTCATATGCGTTTATTAGTCGACAGCTCTTTACACTTCCACCTCCTTCCTCTCAATTCTTTATTCATCTTATCACACGTGGATCTACGGGCAATTTATTATCACCAGATCCACCTTTTTCTTTTATCTCTAACATGAAACCTCATGAAAATGAAAAAATGGACATTGAATCTTTATTGCGCAGACGCAAACTTGATTTAAGAAACACTGAACATTTTGAAATAAAGTTATTGAAGGATTTTGCTCTTGGTTGGTTAAAATGGGCTGCAACTGGTTATCCCAGAAGTTTTGCTAAACGTGGAATGGCACCAAGCGAGGTACGTCTACATTACCACATATCTCGTGTGGAAATAGATCAATAAAAAATTTATATCCTTTAAACACAGCTTCCGAATGCCAAGCAGTGGATTGCAGGTTGTATTGCCTTACAAGAATTATTATTTGGCAAACTTGGAAAAGAAATTTTAGAACGAAAAAGTTTCAGTGCTGTGGATGATACACTTAATAGGAGATTAAAAGATTGTGTACAAGTTAATAGTCGATATTCTGCAAAGTAATGTAAACTTTAATTGTGTTATTGGACCATTATGTTTTCGAGTAATCTTATATTTCCTTTTTCTCCAATTCAGTCATTGTGCTCAAGTGTTGAGGAAAGCTATCGATATATATTTATTAGAATCACCTACATATTATACTAAACAATATCATGAAATTAAGGTGATTTAAAATATTCAATTAATTGTATATACCATTTTTTACGTCACTTAATATTATATATACATATGCTGTAGTTGGATCATGCAATGAAATCCTATATGTCATCTGCACGTGGACCTTGTATACAAGATTATGCCGCAAAACTACGGCAAGAATGTTACAGTATCTGGGAACGCGGAAGACAAAAATGCGAAATACAAAGTTTGTCGGGCCATGAATGCGTTCTAGGAGTGCGTATGCGTATATTAATCGTGTATCGTAGAAATCGAATTTTGTTGGTTACATTAATATGTTAAAACAGGCGAATCATGACTCTGATAATGTTGATGGGGAAAAAAGTAGTGTAAAAAAGGCAGTGAAGCATAGGAGTGCATTTCAAGCGCTCCATGCGTGTAATTGTGGAAGAAGTTGCCGAGAAAGAGAGGATCCTTTTGATTTAGTGGTAACGAATTTAACTTAACAATCTTTTAATGGTTAGAACTGCTTATTGAGTAATGTTTAAATTGTTTCGCATCCCGTTAGGATGCCAATATAACTTTCTTCCACTTTCCAAATTGTTGTAATTCAGAAGGTTATAACTACCTCGTATTACCTGTTGAGAACTCGGCAATTTCCACTTCAATGTGGTCTCTTATGCAGGTTGGTTCCGGTTCAACGTATCGTTCTAATTCTGGCTTAGATAAATGGGAAGGTTTCGTCACAAATGCGAATTTCCTCTTACCGTTGGAAATTCCATTGATAGCGAATTTATCGAAAAAAGTTCAAGAAGAATTAACAAAAGTGAAAGAAACACATGGATGGACAATTGATGCGGTTGGCAATGATACCAATAAAGCTAAGAAATCTAGAGTGAAAGAAGATAAATTGGCCAATCAAGTCACAAGAAAAGGATTTAAACAAAAAGGAAAAAATGGAGACGATATAAAGAATGATAATGAATCTACCTGGCCTATTTTAGGAAATGAAAGTGAGTTATAATACTTTAATGCTTAATGCTTAATATGATTACTTTTATTTGATCCCAATATCTTGAAATGTGATTTGCTGTTTAGATAATCAGCAATGGACTATACCATCAGCGTTTTATTTAAATGATTTTATCCAATTGATCCGAGATGTTCAAAAAAATCCCATACAGTTAGATGAGACACAATCTGTAATATCAAACGTAGAAGGTTTAAAGACTGGTGATATAAATAAAGAAAAACGTCATAGGCGTGGGGGTAAGAATAATCAAAAGAAGGAAAGTGAAAAAACAACACCGCCTTTCATATCCATAACGCCCATGGCAAAAGACATTTCCAAAAGCGAGCACGCATTGTTGAAAGGATACCTGGGCGTTGAGTATGAGTGTCCTCTTGGTCATAGATTTATGAGTTGCGGCGTCGGACAAGTCTGCAAGCTTGGACATGCGGGACATATTAAGGTATTAACAGGATTGATTTTCACAAGGACTAAAATTAATTAATTTAATTTGAACTATTTTGAACTATTAGGAAACTGCGCATAACATATTAGAACAGGATCTGCCCATATATATTCTTTGTCCTTGTAGTAGCTCGACGAACGCTTTAACCATAGCTCAATTACAACGAATAATTATTGTGACACCTGATTCATCAGTAATGATGGTGTTGAACCCAGTTATTAAGGTTAGCAATAGATTTTTTTTTGATTTTATAATCTGAAAGTGTTTAATTATCATACTATTCATTTATTAGAATCGTATAAAAGATGACGCTATAATATCTCCGATGTTCAATTTGCACAATGACGATCATATGTTTAGAGGGATCTCGTTACCGAGAAACAGTATGGTTGTACTGCGTTTGCCGTATCCTTTACCAAAAATGTGGGTATTACAAAAAGTGTTGAATCATATCCTATTATACATAACACTTTTTGTAATGTGCATACATAATTATATTGATTACAATTTTGTTTTAATTAATTTTCCTTAATAATATCAACCAACTTATGATCAGTTATATTCATTATGATCAATCTGGAAAACCTATCCTACAACAGAGAATTATAAATCACGTCTCAATGTTATATCTGGCAAAAAAATTCCTTTTTATTGAAGTTCCAATATCTGAAATGTCTGTCAAAAGCGAAGAGGTTGTTACCATGACATAGCAATGCAGATGGTTGTACTATGATAAAATTGCTTACGTAGTGATTCGCCAATTTTCAATATCGATATTATTGATTTATGTTTGATATATGCGAAAAAAAATTTTTTTGTTCTCCAATGCTGACACGTGAAATGCATCATTATATATATATATATTATGCAATTTTATATTTAAGACGTGGCTGAAAGTATCTAATTTTGGGTTTTATTTGCTTTTGTTTGAATAACAGACTCCCTGTATTACTTTGTATTACTTGCAGATACATAAACACGTGACTATATAGTAGCTATATATTTAATTACATATATCAATGAGGTGCGTACCTACGTACGTACGTACATATATATACCTGATACGTATCAGGTATGTACGTACGTACGTACCTATATTGTCTGAAATTTGTCCAATAAGAGGATTGGCTTAAAGACAATCGTGTTAAATTCATTACAAAAAAAAAAAAAATAGAATTACGCTTTACATTTAAATTTCAT